GTAACTGTATTGTGAAGGTACGGCCTACATATATCTATTCATTATTCCCAGGTTTGCTTTCTATCAGTATCAAAGGTGCGATGACAAATTAATTGAATTATAGTAGCAATGGAAGGGGAACCTGCTTTTAAACATTGCCAGCAATGGAAAGATATATTGGTGAAGAAATTAAACAAGACAAAATCTGGGTGAAAAAATAGGTAGAATGGGTTGTTTGCAATCTCTTTAAACAGGCTCCCAAATGCCATTTTCAACCCTCTAAAAGTACTAAATTTCAATTTCTTCGGGGGGTTCGCCCCCTGAACCCCCACTGGGACTCTGTCCCTGGACCCTGCTGGGGGCCTCTGCGGCCCCCAGACCCCCGACAGAATTTTCCTTATTTTTCAGCTTCAGCTGGTGGAAGCACTGTTTTAGATTCAATGAATGTATCAATTTTTTTTTCCTACCCAAGCTAATTGGACCAGGAATATAATGCCTTGTAAAATATTGTAAGGTTTTTAAACTGCAAAATATAAGTATCAGCCGCCATTTTTTTGGGCAAGGGTTTAATGCAAAAGGGGCAGAAGCAAGGCTCTACTTGATTTTTCTTGTGAATGTGAAGTTCAATTGTAAAGGCAGTAGAGGCTAGGCCAGGCCCATTCTCAAATTTTTAAAAAGTATAGAGATCTAAGTTCAAATGCTAAAAGGGCTCAGCCCACAGCAGGAGCTAGCCTCTATGCTCAATTTTTTTTTTCTTTCCAAATACAAATGTTTAGAGGGAAGAGCTGAGATCCTTTTTTTTTTCTTTTCAAATTTATATAAGGAAAGCAATGCCTATTTTTTTTTCTATAATAGGGTTGTTGTTATCGATCCAGTTCTATAATAGGGAAGTACATAAAGATGTTGTTTCAATATCTTGATATTTGGTATCTTTGCCTTCCAGAATTCAAGGCAAACCATGAGGTCCCCCCAGCAAGTACTGGCATCAACGTTGGCTTCCCGTTCACCAGCAGCACTAATCGGAAGACGTCCTTGCAAAAACTACAACAGTGGACCAAGACAAAAGCTGGAAAGGAGAAGGCCGCCCGCCACAGACAGTGTGAGATCATCTTCTCTTAGTTTAAGTAGAGGTTTTATGGCGCTCGCAACTGCATGAGGTCATATGAGCGCCAGAAGATTAGAGGTGCTACAAGAGAGTAACAAACATAAAAGAGAAGAAGGGGAGATAATGACGATAGATATTTGATCGGAAAGAAGAAGCAAACCACACCCGAGTCTTGCAGATTAAGATTTAGATGGAAGTAACAGTGGGTGGTTGGTGGGTGCTCTGGAATGGTTTGCGCCTTCTTTCCTATCAAACATCTATCATCTTTAATATCTCTACTTCTTTTCTATGTTTGTTGCTCTCTTGTAACACCTCTAATCTAAGGCACTTATATGACCTTATTGTGTGGCAAGTGCTGTAAAACTCTTACTAAAACTAAAAGTTTGTGTACTAATCTAAATTATTGTTCATCTTTATTTTCGTGCTAGAGATGGACTAAAACCTGAAACTTCATTTCTTCTTGGTGTTGTACTTTTCAGTGAAAATAGATTTGGAGGAAGTGCACAGAGAGTGGAGCGTAGAATCCAGGCCCAGGCATGTCTGCAAGGTTGCTCAACACTACGGCCTCTACCAAGACATGTTTGATGGGGCTCATTTCTACCCCGTCGTTCCTCTCGACGTTTGGTTTGACTACGATGAGGAGTTTGTCACCCCGGTGCGCTACGGGAATGTCATTCCTGCCAGAGAGGTAAGTTATAAAATTGGATGCTTTTGATGGAGGCTCATTTTGAGAGTCATCTATATTAACCCATTGCACGTGAGATACGAGTATATTCATGCTGCCGCGCGTTTCTGTCCTCCGAGCTACGAGAATAGTCGTATCAAAATACCAGTCCATAAAATCGAGTCCGAACCTCTTATCCAGGTTTCTGTTGAAAATAATAGATAGCTTGTAGCTTGTAAAAACTTTTGCAAGCCTGTTTCGGTCCAGTTTTTCGTCAAGTATGAGTTAGTTTTGTTGTTTTGTCACCACAAATCGGGGCAAGAAAGCGAGTACTGAAATCTTCATGGACAAGAAGAAGAAAAAAACTGCCACATAAAAACAACAGTGCCACTACTATTTTTGTGTTTGTTGAAATACATGAACCGTGTTTTTAGATTGTTTTAGGCATCAACGGCAAAGAAAGTGAAAGTAGACCTAAATCTAGAAAAACAAGGCGATCGGATTGATTTTAGTGCCTTGAAAACCTCGAAGAAAAGCTAGATCTAGACCAGAGATTTACTCTTAAGTTGTTATGGGTAAATCGAGTGCCGATGAGCCGCAGTCGAACAAAGAAATATTGTTTTCTCTGCTCTTCCCTTCCTCCTTCTCTCTAATAAAAATAAAATTAAAAGAACATTTAAAGTTAGATCTAAGCGAAATTTCATATTGATACCCTAAATAGTTTGGGCACAATGCGTGTCTTGGTTTAGTGTGTCGAGTTCAGACCGATTTTTTTCCCCGGCTCACGGCAAGCCAGGGTGGTCACAAATGTACTGCCTATTGCACTGGGGTTGGCTGCCTTTGTTGTAATTAAGAAGGCAAAAGTAAAGATTCTGTTTCTTCATGAAGAAGGTTGATTTATTTAACATATATGAGAAAAATGACATGAGGTCTGTCCTCTCAGGCTTCACTGACAAGACTGAATCATGATGAGCTCATGTGGTTGAAACAGGAAGGAGGAGTGAGTAAAGATCACTAAGATCAGACAACCTTTGGTGAGAGGGTAGATAAAATAAAAGTACAGTTACAGGGACATAATTCAAATTGATCATGGTAATATAGGGACCAACAATCCAGGATTTATTGTTGCCCTTCTATATATTGATAATAAGCAATCTAATAGCCTAACACTGCCGGTCAACGCAGGGGGAATTGGGGTAAATTAGATGTTGCAGTGTTTAGCCTTGTATATTTATGGGTTGATGTGGAGTTTTTCTCGCAGTAAAAATTGTGATCTTTGTGATCTGGCCAGAAATACTCGTCTTCGCAACTGGGTTACTCGCTCAGCATTGCTTCCTTTCTTTTCAAAACTAGAATTTTCAGCAAAATTTTGCTTAAATATGGAATCCTCGAAACTTCACTGCTGTTATTTTACTGTTGTCAAACAGCTGCAAAGGGCTTGTTTCTTAAGTATCGCATCTGCCACTTGACATCAATCATCATCTACCAAAGTGTTGCTTTATGTTGTTTGAAGACTAGCTGTGGGTGGTTGACGGATGCTCTGGTGTTGTTTGCTCCTTCTTTTCTGGCATACACCTATCATCCTTATCTCTCCTCTTTCATTGTTTGTCAGGGATGCCATATCTCAGGTTTTTCAGGCTTTTTCAGGTGTTTAAAAAAAAATAAATCATTTGGCATTCCTGAAGAAGAAGGCCACTGACATAAGGTCTTTCTTCTCAAGTCAGATATAATATTACCGGAATTGGTGAAACAAAGTCCCTATACACTTGAAAAGGAAAGGGGAACGGTAAGAGAGTTGTATTTGTGTGCTCATTTAAAAACTTTACAAGGTTTGTTTTAGATGAGATGTGATGCTCCGCTCATTTTCAGGTGGTTTTTTTCAAAATTCATTTTTTGCATCCCTGATTTGTATATTACTCTCTGGTAACATTTCTAAGCTTGGGAGCTTATATGACCTATTGGTGTTGCAAATACTGTAAAACTGACGAAGATTAGCTTTTTTATTTTCCTTTTTTTTATGTATGCCAGACAGCCCTTTGCGGGCGGTTGGCGGGTGCTCTGGTGTGGTTTGCTTCTTCTTTCCTATCAAATATCTATCATCCTCTCTCTCCTCCTTTTTTGTGTTTGTTTCTCTTGTAACACCTCTAATCTTCGGCACTTATACGACTTTATTGTGTTGCAAGTGCTGTAAAACACTTAGTAAAACTAAAAAAAGACAACCCTTTGTGATACTGACAGGCTGAAGTGCAACCATGTGCTGAGTTTGAGGCGGAGGAGGACAGCTTGTGGACACTTGTGATGTCTAGTCCCGACGGCAACCTGGAGCAGAATGACAGGGAGTTGCTTCACTGGATGGTGTAAGTGGAGACTGTGCTGGAGATTTGTTTTGTCGGAAGTCGTACCTTTGTTGTTAGCAAAATTGTTTCGTGGGTGGTTGGCGGGTGCTCGGGTGTGGTTTGCTTCTTCTTTCCTGTCAAACATCTATCATCCTTATCTCCTTCCTTCTTTCCTATCAAACATCTATCATCCTTATCTCCTTCCTTCTTTCCTATCAAACATCTATCGTCTTTATCTCCCCTCCTTCTTTTTTGTGTTTGTTACTCTCTTGTAACACCTCTAATCTTCTGGTGCTCATATGACCTTATGCTTTTGCGAGCGCCGTAAAGCCTCTACTAAAACTAAAACTAACTATCTCCCCTCCTTCTTTTTTGTGTTTGTTACTCTCTTGTAACACCTCTAATCTTCTGGTGCTCATATGACCTTATGCTTTTGCGAGCGCCGTAAAGCCTCTACTAAAACTAAAACTAACTATCTCCCCTCCTTCATATTTGTGTTTGTTACTCTCTTATAACACCTCTAATCTTCGGCACTTATATGACCTTATTATGTTGCACGTGCCATAAATCTCTTACTAAAGCTATAATTGATTCTATGATAAGTATGGGGATCGGTGAAGTTGCTCCCAAAACAGATTCAATAGAAATTGTTGGAGACGGCCGCCTATCTCGTCAAGGAGAAGAGTGTCTGTCTTAGACAGGGTCATTATATTATTGACCTATCCATATGTTGTGTTTTACTATGGTATCCATACGACGTGGGGAACTCTGTGCCACCACTTAACCCTATCCGTACGTCGTGTTTAACTATCGTATCCATATGACGTGGGGAACTCTGTGCCACCACTTAACCCTATCTGTACGTCATGTTTCTTTAAATCGTAGGCCTAATGTGAACTAGTCCGTCATACAACAAAAATGGGGACATAACTGAAAATGGGTTGTTGTTTTTTTACGCGCTGTGTAGAACAAAACTATTCTGTGAGAATTATCTGACATGAATTTCAGAAAAATTCCTTTTGACTTCCAAGTGTTGAGTGTGGAAGAAAATATTTACAAAAAAAGGTGTACAGTTTGTTTTTGATCACCCTGTATATTTGCCTCTCTGCTTTTTTTCATTGATATTGACAATTGAATATTTTCCTTTTCCTTACATTGCGGCCTCATAAGTTATAACATTTTGTATAACTGTTTCCTTGATTAGCATATTCCACAGATAAGGCCAAGACCATTTATTATATGGTTAAACAGGAGGAAGTTCAGATGCTTTTCTTGAAAGTATCAACATATTGTATTTGTCACGAGGATAGTTTGCTATTTTTTGGTTCAGATGTTAAGATTTTCATGTGAGGAAAAATATTATAAAAAGTATCAAAATTGCTGGAGTTTTGCCCCAGAATTGGTGGGAAGACACCAGTGTTTCTGTGCAAGATGTCGAAATATCCACATCATGTTTTTAAATAGGTGACAAATTAAATTCTCGTCTGGACTTTCACTACTGATGAATTTTTCTTCACCAAGACTGAGCTAAGCCATTTATAGCCTCCCCTCAAATGCGCAGTTGGTCGCTTTTAAGGACAAGGGGGCTAACCCAGATTTCGGGATTTTCCAGAAATCTTGACCTACTCAAAAACTGGGCATTGCCCTACCTATAGCAGAAGTTTGGTTTCATTGGTGTATATATTTTTTTGGTTATAATAGAGAAAACTCTCCTTGTCTTTGAATGAATCTGAACAAGGGGCAAAAACTTTACCTTCGATTTTCTCAAAACAGTATTTTTCGGGATAGCCCACTTTTCCTTAAAAGCGACCAATTCATATCATTGTTCTGTTCACGACTGCTATCAGGTGCCGCTTGTGTAATATTTTGAATTGATGTAATCAATGTAACCCCCCGGGGCAGTGCCACTGACTGTAGTGTCTTTAGGTCATTCTCAAAGGGGGGGGACATTTCTCGTTCAAGCACAGTAGAATTGTAAATGGGCTGACTCATGTCATGCTCATAACTGTGCCTGATCTACAACAGGGAACTGCTGCTTTTTCTTTCCTAATCCTTACTATTGTCATTTTCCTCTACTTCTTTTGTATGTTTGTCACTCTCTTGTGACCTGCTATTTTTTGGGGTGCCTTGATAGTCGAAGCAGACCTTGTGCTGTTGAAGCTAGAGGGGTGAGCAGTCTAAGTCTGATTTCCTGTAAAGACTTCTTTGTTGACACCCACACCTTGGCGCTTATATGACCTTATGCAGTTGCGAGCGTCGTAAAACCCTCTACTGTATATATATATATATATATATAATCAATGTAATCCTATTTTGTTTTTCAGAGGAAACATCCCCGGTGGCGACGTGGAAAAGGGTGAGACTCTGTGCAAGTACCTGCAGCCGTTCCCGGTGAAAGGGGCGGGATTCTTGCGCTACGTGTTTGTCCTCTACAAACAGCAGCGGCCCCTAGATCTCGACAGCCTCAGGAGGTCCTCGGATGGGTAGGTTACTTCCCCTGAAGCGAGTCACTACTTCATTTGGTCGCTTTTAAGGACAAGCGGGCTAACCCACATTTCAGGGGTTTGCAGAAATCTTGACCTACACCAAAAGTGGGCATTGTCCTTCCTATAGGAGAAGTTTGGTTTCATTGGTGTGTATATTTGTTTGGTTACAGAGAAAACTCTCCTTGTCTTTTAAAGAAAGTGAACAAGGGGCAAAAATGTTACCTTCGATTTTCTCACGACAGCATTTTTTGGGATAGCCCTTTAGTGCTTGAAAGCGACCATTTGTATGTGAATAGTACACGACATACTCTGTCCCCTTTGAGGGTTCTAGTGCAGCCCTTTGCTTATGGTTGGAATATCAATCTTCTTGAGTGGGTGGTTGGCGAGTGCTCTGGTGTGGTAAGCTTCTTCTTTTCCATGAAACATCTATCGTTCTTATCTCCCCTTCTTCTTTTTTATTTTTGTTACTCTCTTGTAACACTTCTAATCTTCAGCACTTATATGACCTTATTGTGTTGCAAGTACCGTAAAACTCTTTCGACAACTAAACATACTTTGTCCCCTTTGAGGGTTCTAGTGCAGCCCTTTGCTATATGATTGGAATGTCAAATTTCTTGAAAGTTTCGGGTATGTCTGTGTCCCAGAGGCAGCAATTGAGAATGTGACTAGGCGTTGTACGGAAGCTTTGGCTGAAAAAAATGTCACAGGAAACTCCAGAATATTTGTATTATCAGAATTGATCTTGTCTTCACTGAGAAGTAATGAATGGCAAATATTGTGAGGCATGCAGACGAAATGAGCTACTTCTCTTTTTTTCTTTTTTCTTTTTTTTTTGGTGTTTTACGGCGCTCGCAACTGCATAAGGTCATATGAGCGCGCGGGACACACCTAATACTTTTAGTTGGTAAGAAATTTTGAATTCTGCCCGGGAGGCGACCGAAGCCTACTTTTATCGATTTTCGACCACCAAAGGATCTTTAACGTGCGCAACTTGCAGACGGGCCCTCTGAGATTTTTCGCCCTTGTCCGAGAAAGCTAGGTGTAGATCTTTTCTACCAGAAGATCAGGGGTGTGGCAGAAAGACAGCTGTAAGAAGGAGTCAAGGAGTAGCAGTAGAAAGGCTGCAGAAAGAGTCAGGAGCCCAGAGGAGGGGGCAAAGGAGGTGAAGGGTTGGGGCAGAAAGAGGAGACGAGAGCAGACGACAGAATATTGCTAGAGAGCAGGAAAGGAGGTGAAAGGAGACTATTTTAGAGAAGAAAATTTTTCGGTGGCTACCCGGATTCAAACCCGGGACCTTTGAATGAGAGGCCAACACCTTAATCTTTAGGCCACGAGAGCCCCAGCTACTTCTCGTAATCCACAAATGAAAGTATTGACCAAAAATCGACACTTGGGTTAAATTTGTAGATTTTCTATAGATAGATGGCATATTCTTTAAGTATAAAATGCCTTTTATTATTTCATCCTTATAAATGATAAAAACTCCACCATTTAGCGTGATGTTTTCATTTCCACGGGGCTCGAATCCGATAAGTGACTAATGTTATCAGCACGCTTCGCAAATGTTGGAGGTAGTTGTTTTTTTTTGGGTTTTTTAATAGCAGAGGGTTTTACAGCGCTCGCCACTGCATAAGGTCATATGAGCGCCAAGGGGTGGGAGTCAACAGAGAAGTCTTTACAGGGAATCGGAATACTTATTCTGCTCACCTCTCTAGCTTCAACAGCTCAAGGTCTGCTTCGACTATCAAGGCACCCCGGAAATAGCAGGTGACAAGAGAGTGACAAACATATGAAAGAAGTAGAGGAAAATGACAATAGTAAGGATTAGGAAAGAAAAAGCAGCAGTTCCCTGTTGTAGATCAGGCACAGTTATGAGCTTGACATGAATCAGCCAATTTACAATTATACTATGCTTGAACGAGAAATGTCCCCCCTATGGGAATGGCCTAAAGACACTACAGTATGGCACTGCCCCGGGGGGGGGGGGGGGGGGGGGAGGTAGTTTTCTCTTGAGAAGGTCACAGGACCCAGACAATCAATTGTGTCTCGACGAGGTGGAATCGGGCACTCATCAATTTTGGGGCATATAGAGTTATTGGTGTTGGTCTAAAGCCTAGACATTTTCCTTGATTTTGATAAGAAAAATATCCATTTATCTTTGATACAAGTCAAGATATTGGTGATTGAAGGGGGTGGGGGTCGCCTGGTTTTAGAGGTAAAATTAGCGAGAAAATGACTGCCAAAGTTGAGTTATTTCCTCAGCTTGAGAGTCTGTGAAAACTGAAAATGTACATCTTTTATGCCCTTAATCAACGTTTTTCAGTAAAATCCACACAGAAATATGTTTTTTAATGGCCATGAAAGGTGTTGAGCCAAAAAACAAAAATTTGATAAAATTCACAAACCTGCGGAAAAATGCCAGTTTCTTGACTTTGATTATTTTGACGAGCACCTGATTCCACCACGCTGCCTCACAATTTCATTGTTTACATAAGCCAGGCCTGGGCTTTCTGTATGAATGGTTTTACGGGGTGCCCACGCCGGATGGGATCAGCCGATCAGGCCGATCACTTGACTCAATCGCCTCAAAAACAAACGTGTTTGTTTTCAGCTTTGTTTGGCATCGGCCCGATCCAGCCGTAGTGGGCATCCCGTATTAGATTTTAAATATCATTCCTCTTTTTCCTAACACACACCTCCCCTATCCCCCCTCCCCCCCTCCACACACACACACACACACACACACACACACACACATACACACACACACACGCACACACACACACACACACACACTCTCTCACACTCTACCCTCTCCCCTTTAATCAATTTGGCCCTGGAACTGCTTCCACTTTTCTTCCCTTGACATGATATTTTGTGATTCATTATGAGTGGAGGTATATAGAGTAGAACAAAGAGAAATTTTTCCTGTCCGTAGTCTACAAACAAACTTACTTTTGATAATCCCTCCACAGTTACTCTTTGCGAGAAAGATCGTTCAGCACCCTCGACTTTTATCGCAAGTTTGAGGACAGCCTCACTCCGGCTGGGCTTGCTTTCTTCCAGAGTCAATGGGACAGTTCTGTAAGGTCTACCTTCCACAACATTCTAGGTGGGTACCATTTGGGTGTGGTGTGCTTCTTCTTTCCTATCAAACATCTATTGTCTTTATCTCCCCTTGTTCTTTTTTATGTTTGTTCCTCTCCTGTAACACCTCTAATCTTCTGGCGCTCATATGACCTTATGCAGTTGCGAGCGGCGTAAAACCTCTACTAAAACTAAAACTACCATTTGGTCGCTTTTAAGCACAAGGGGGCTATCCCCCCAAAAATAGCTGTTTTGAGAAAATCGAAGGTAATGTTTTTAACCCTTGTTCAGTTTCTTTGAAAGTTAAGAAGAGTTTTTTCTATAACCAAACAAATGTACACACCAATGAAACCAAACTTCTCCTATAGGCAGGGCAATGACCACTTTTGGTGAAGGTCAAGATTTCTTGAAACCCCTGAAACCTGGGTTAGCCCGCTTGTCCTTAAAAGCGACTATTTCTGCTTGTGCTTGCACATTACTTTCTTAGTTTTTACTTTTTCATCCCCTGTTGCCGTTAAGCGTCGAGGGGAGATGGGTTTTTTTTTATGGTAGGCTAGCTCCGCAGCTCTTTCAATTTGGATAGTGTAATTTCTCTGCATGTTGAACAGATAAAAAAGTCTCCAGAAATCATTTTTTATCAGACTGATAAATGTTTTTGAGTGTCATTGAGAAGTGTGTACTGCTTCTGTGTAACTTTACCCTATCCTTACGCACTGGGGTCATTTTGTATCCACAGGGTTGTATTGTTCACATTTTAGAATACTTCTAGTGCAAAGATCTCTTTGAAACTTTCTCCAAAAATATGTTTTTGACACACTACTATGCAAAGTGTACATATCGGATTAACGAGTAAATTTCCCTTATTGGAAAGTGGTGGCACAGAGCTCCCCTCGTCGTATGGATACGATAGTAAAAACAACGTATGAACATGGTTAAAGGAACTAGTACATTCAACCCTGTTAAGACGGCCACCCTTTGTCAAGGAGAAAAGTGTCGGTTTAAAACAGGTGGTCATCTTAGGCAGGACCGATCAAAATGAAGAAAGCAAACCATTCTCTTCTGAGGTTCAAACCGGGGCTGATCTCAGGATTAGGACTGCTGTAAGGTGAATTCAAAAGGGCTTTTGTTTTCTTTCGAAAAAAAAAGGGGGGGGGGGGGGGGGGGGCTGATGTAAGAAGGGTTTTGTGTTGTTTTGTTTTTTGGTTAGCTTTCTTTTTATTTCTGATTTTATGCAAGAGTAAACTAAACGAAATATTAAGTAAGTAAAACGATGAAGACCGAGTGCTATTGTAAAACAAACGCACGTGTCGCCACCACTCAGAGAACGGGCGACGCTTGCTTCTGTCACAAGTTCACGTCAACGTCCATTGTTACTTTGTTACAGATTAGGTAAACAAAACTGACCAGTAATCTCACACACGATTTGTGCATGAGTTGTGGGCGGGGCTTATAGATTATGAAGGATCACACGCTTCCCTCACCAGCAGTTGGAAATTTATTGTTAGGCCTTCCCAATGGTCAACTTGGGTAAACATTCACTGGAAGGACTAACAGCATGTGGGGCCGGTTCAAAATTTATGACAAAGTGTCAGGCGATGAGTGACCACGCCTGGCTGCTGAGGCAGGTAAATTTGACCGTGGGTTGATAAAATAAAGTGGCCCTGACCGCGTTGGACAGGTGACCGTTTTACACAGTTAAGTTTTATAGAAAACACGCAAGGGGGGCAAATGGAATGTGGCGGTATTATACAGGTGGCCGTCATGGCAGGTTCGACTGTATATTTACCCGTCTGCTGGGACATTTCAGTAACCCACTTTCAGCACTTTTTAAGGACCCCCGGGCGACCGTTGAGTTCCTGCGTGCTGTCGGCATGGCTGACCGTTTATGACGCCACAGCGCCAGAAGAAAGAGAGAGAAAGAGTGTACATTTAGACTATAGGAAGTATTTGATTCGCTTTGTCTCTTTCAGGGCGTTGCTTTTGTTCTTAACACTTTGCCATCACAAGGCTCATATAGTAAAAACCCTTGCGATCAAAGGCAAAGGCATTTTGGGGAAAATCCAAAGAAACTGGGCTGTAATCATCGCTGATTAATGAGATGTGACGGCAAAGTTTTAAACTAGTAGCCTGAAAAACAATGAAGTTAAAAGCTTCAGCCTCCCTTGAACCCCAGTATCATTAATTTTTCTCTCTCAACAATTGAAACAAATAAATGTGCACAGTTCCTTCTCTGTTTATCAGGATGCAATTGTCAAATTCCATCTTACAACTTGGTGAAAATATTAGATGAATTATTTCCCCTTTACTGCAATGCCTTTCTCATTTTGAGCTGCTTATGGGAACATTTCCATTTCTGCTGGGGAGCATTTTCCGAGATGGGTTTTTCTGTGGCAGAAAAATTAGAGTTACTTGTTACCTGTGTGAAGGACCGACATTACTGCTTAAGGGGCATCCCCATAAGCACTCCATAAGCATTTCTGAAGCATTTTTGTTGCAGTTACAGTTACCTGATTTTTCGTGTGATTTTGACTCTATAAAGGTTAATGAAGAGAAACTTGAAGACAGTGATTTAGTACCAGTGTTAAGATAAGATACTTACTTACTACCCATTACGGCATCTGGCGTTTAGGGCAGCAACAAAAGATCTCCAGCTCTGTCTGTTTTGGGCCATCTTGGTCCGCATTCCCCGCGAATGGTTCCAGGACTTCATTTCAGACTCTACTGTGTGTCTCCAGGTCACTTTGAGTCTGCCCCTTTTGCGACGTCCTTCGGGTGTCCAGTGGAGGGCTGTCTTCACACTTTACTTTACTTTTCCGATCCAGCGGCCATTTGGGTTCTAGCCCTTCGGTCTGTTGATATGGCAAAGAATTTGCAGGTTTTAATCAGCTGTGCTTTGTCGCTGTATAGAGTATTTCTGATGTCTGGGGAGGCAGGTAGGTAGGTAGGCTGTCTTCACAATAGAGTCTGGTTCTCTTCTCAGAACATGTCCAATCCATCTCCATCTTCCCCTTTTTATTATGGTGGTCATGTCCTCTTGCCTCTCTTCTGTGGCAGAACTACTAGAGTTCCTTGTTACTTGTGTGAAGGACCGACATCACTGCACAAGGGGCATCCCCATAAGGGCTCCGTCCCCTGAAGAAGCACATCTCGAAGTGTGTAGATGCTGATGGTTCCAAGCAATGGTTGATTCCTTAGCCTTCTGCTGACAATAAGAGTGCCAGTTTGTAGGCTACATAGAAAGGCAGGGTTTGGGGATCTTGATGTGTATCTGATCTATAAATAGCCTAAAGTGGAAAATAATGAGATACGACTGAGCATTTCTCAAGTATTTTTGTTGCAATTTTCCTGATTTTTCGTCTGATTTTGACTATATAAAGGGTAATGAAGAGAAACTTAAAGACAGTGATTTAGTACCGGTGGTAAGATACGATAAGATACATTTTTATTGTCCAGATCATGGCACATTGTTTTGGTGTTTCACCACGTGTATACACACACACACACACACACACGCACACACACACATACACACACACACGCACACACACACACACGCACACACACACACACACACACACACCCGCACACACACACACACACATACGCAGGCTTACAATCACATGCATAATATAAATGAGCAGCAATATATACAATAATAATCTTCAGCTAGATACGTACTCAATGTTATTCTGATGCATGCTCTAAGGTAATATTTTTATCAATTGTAGTGAGTGGAAAAGTTCCGAAAAATGTCTTCAGTTTGTGCTTTTTTTCTCTTCCACCCCCCCTCAGACATGCCAGAGCCCAAGTTTGAGTTCATTCACCCCCCAGCCTACGTTCCAGAACAACTGGAAGTGCCACACAGACGAGCCTTCAACATGTAAGTCCTGGTCTACTTGGGCTCCCAATGGACTCTCTTTTGTCGTTTGTGAGGCGTGCTGACAAAATGAGTTAGTGGGTGGTTGGCGGGTGCTCTGGTGTGGTTTGCTCCTTCTTTCCTATCAAACATCTATGGTCCGTATCTCCCCTTCTTTTTTTCTGCATGTTACTCTCTTGTAACACCTCTAATCTTCTGGCGCTTAAATGACCTTATGCAGTTGCGAGCGCCGTAAAACCTCTACAAAAAATTTTTTTAAAAAAAAATGAGTTACTTCTCGGATTTAGGCCTGATGGTAATTGATGCATCAAATTTATAGGTGGAGTTTTTATCATTTATTAGTATGAAATTGAAAAAAATGTTAAACATGAAGAGAATGGCATTTGTTTTGAATCTACAAATATGACCCCTGTGTCGATTTTTTGGCCGATGTCTCCACTCTTTGATTCCGTGAAGTGACTCATTTTGTCAGCACGCCTTATGTTGATTTGTTCCTATGTTTTGTCCATGAGATTGGTATTGTCGGAACTTTGAAATTAATTTGAGCATCATTTTTTGTTTTATTGCAATGGAGCACAAATTTAGATTTTTAGGATATTTTGATTTCTTTTAAAATATTTTTTGTTGTTCTCTTAAAATGGAATAAATTTTTATTTTTTGTTGAAAAGATTGGAGGTACTCTGCATGATCTATGAATTAGAGCTGTACCCCGGTAGCAAACCTGCTCGTGCTCGCAAGCCCCTAGTTCAAGTCACAAGCCTCAAATCACTAGGTCAAATCATCAAATCATATCACCAGCATGATAAGTTGAGTCTATTCTAAGCTTCGAGTCCCCACCAACTAGCAATCCCCAAAGCCACTCGTTTCAGATTCCCCCATCCTCCAACCCTCCTTCGACCCTTGAAGCCACTTATGTCAGAAAGAGAGAGAGAGGGGGAGAAAGAGAGAGACGCCGCTCACAGTGTCACTGCGCGGCGGGACACTGCTAGAGCTAGAGTCGATTAATCGAAGGCTTGCGAGCAGCGGACGGCGTCAAGTCTCAAATCCCGCTGGCAGTCAGCACAGCAAGACACTTGAGTCCTATGATTTGATTTGCCTGCTCTCAACCTGGCTAGACAGTCTGCGAGTCACAACACACCGGAAGTTCTCCCCTGTAGCGAGCGGGAGGCAAAGCAAAGCACAAGCCTGCTCCTCGCAAGCCGTCCGCTGCTCGCAAGCCTTCGATTAATCGAGCAGCAGGCTCCAGCTCTACTATGGATCTGTCAGTATCAAGCATATTGGACAAACAAACTTCAATTTCATCGATCCTCAAAAAAACATTCTGCACATGGTCAAATTGTGCCCATTTTTGAAAGGTAATGAAAGAAAAGCTATAAAACAATTCTTTGTCATTTATTTCAGGGTTTTTTTGTGCTATGTCTTATGTTTCTGAGGTATAATTTTGGTGTATGTAGTGTCAGAGGTTGAGTTTTGTGAATTTTTGAAAACTTAAAAAAACTCAAACCATACTCCAGCACTTGTGTTTTCAAAAGTATCCCACACTCAAGTGAGTTAAGATGGGATATTGGAGACCCTTGTGCCAGCATATATTATGTATCAACAACAAAAGCAGTTTCTTCGTCTCTTTCCTATTGGTTTTATTAGATGTCCTTGAAAATTGGCTTCACAAATTTGATTTATTTTGCTTTTTTTTTTTTATCCCACTCTCCACCAGGTACTTGGATCGTTACCGCGATGTGAAAGATCTACAGGAAGAAGTTCTCAGGTACAAATTGAAGGACAAAGACCCGACAAAGCCGCCTCCGCCCCAGCCCAAGTTCAACAACATCGACCTACTTCCCTCGACGACTTCCTCCTGGCTGAGGGGCAAAGTGCAGCACATGCGCATAGGAAAGTTCCACTGGAAGTCTGTGTATGAAGAGCCCAAAGAATGAGAGTGATAAAAGAGAGAACGGTGGCATCGTGTATGAGAGTTTGTTGTAGTGATGAGTAGGAGTGGATTATTCTGTGAACTATTTGACTGGTGAATGAGAAATTGGGACATTAACCCCTTCACTGCCGACTATAAGCTACATAGCTGTGCCGGGGAAAATTGTTCCAATTACTTCAAGCGTCACATTGAGCCCCTGACTCAGAAACTCAATTGAAATCATTATCATCACTGTTACAGTCATTCATATTTTCGTCTAGAACTTCTGCAGCTAAATAGGAAGGTTGATATACTGGTCTGTTGGAAGCCATTGCGAAAAGAAAACCCCCCCCCCCCAAAAGCAGAACTCAGAACGTCACCTCTTCACTTCATCAAAACAAAGAAAATGACGTTCAGATCCACGGGAGACTACTGCAATATCAATGAGGATTAGTTGTGACACAGTTTTGTCCCTTAAAAAGGTGGAAAATTACACAAAAAATGACTTCATCATAGGCCCGTCGAATCAACGGGCACATGGCACAGGGAAGCACTTCTTGGCCCGCTGATTCAGCCGGGGCAGTGAAGGGGTTAAGAATGATGAGTTTCAGAGATGCACGTGTATTGTTCTGGAGAACTTGTGTTTTATTTGACAGTGCCACTTCAAATGCTTTTGTTTGAAAGCCTAAGTTGTTTGTGTTTTTGTATTGAATCCCAAATCATTAACTGCAGTGTTTGATAGCTAAATGTCAAGGTGAATGTTTTCACGGTTTCATTGCCTTTGAAGAAATACTACTTTCATTTGTTCAAAAAGAAGTGCTTTTGCAGCCTCTCGCAGTGCTCATGAGGCCAAAATCAAAATCATCTACTGCTAGATATGCCTGCTGTACTGGGTCATGCCATCTTTTCAACCTGCTAACTTCATAGCTTCATGTGTGTCTCTTCCTGGAAAAAAAGCTTAATAAACTGTTGTATGAAATGTTTTCAAAAGTTCATCCCGAGTTCTGTCTTATATTCCAATTGTTACTCAATGTTGTTTCTCTCTGTGTGTATCTTTCCTTTACTCTACCGGGCTCATTAGTTGTGTAACTCTCTCCAGCAGTAAGTTCTTTGATCATTATTATGTTTCAGAAGTGTTTGAGTTGGACTCCCAAATGAATACGCAGAGGGAAAACAGCATTTGTCACAGAAAAAAAAATATTGAGGTCTACTGTCTTTGTTCTACATGTTCATTTGGACTATTGCTGTTCTTTCTTCTATGTAGTGGGTGGTTGGCGGGTGCTCTGGTGTGGTTTGCTCCTTCTTTCCTATCAAACATCTATCATCCTTATCTCTCCTCCTTCTTTTTTGTGTTTGTTACTCTTTTGTAACACCTCTTATCTTCGGCACTTATATGGCCTTATTGTGTTGCAAGTGCCATAAAGCTCTTCCTAAAACTAAACTTTCTTCTATATATGACAGTTTTCAACACAGTCAGACCTTGATATACCTACATCTCACGTGGGGCACGCCGGAGTTTGGCAGGATAGCGAGGCTGGCGGTATAACAGGGTTCTAATGTTGTCTTCTGGAATATAGCCTCGGCTGCCCAAATTTTTTCAGCAAAACCAAATATGCAAAAACTAAGAATTATGACAAATGTGAGGCATGCTGACAAAATGAGTAACTTCTCGCAATCTACAAATGGAGATATTGGTCAAAAAACGACACTAGGGTCAAATTTGTAGATTTTCTTTTTATGCCATATTCTTTAAGTAAAACATGCCTTTTATGATTTAATACTTATAGCTTGTAAAATCTTCTCGTGTTAGCGTGATGTACATGTCCAAAAGGGCTTGAAAATGAATCTGAGAAGTAACCTCATTTTGTCAGCACACCTCACAAATGCCATTTTCCCAGATACCTTTCAATTGTTTGAAGAAACAAGAACAGATTGGTCTTCTGAAAGATAAAACGACCTCTTGAGAAGTCTGGTCTGCTCCAGGGTATTTACATCAACCAATGAACCAAGCAACAACTGGGAGAAATGTGACATAAGAATAAGCACCTCAAAAGCAGAAGTTATGAAAGTTAGCCAAAACTATAGTCCTCTGAACATTCATGTCAATAACAGACAACTGAAACAGGTTGGGGAGTTTAAATATCTGGGTAGCATTTTTTCTTAAAATGGGTCCATAGATAGAGAAATACAAATAGGACTTCAAAGGCCAAGATCGTCACCTATAAGCTCACACCCCTTCTATCTCATCCAAACATCTTCATGGCCTCAAAAAGACAGCTTACCACTTCCATATTTGTATCAGCATTATGCTACATGTACCACTACCAGTGCCAGATCTGGACATAAGTAAAACCCGTGAAAGATGAAATGTCTACGCAAAAGCCTAAAAATCATAAGAAGAGACAGGCGGCAGAGAAATGAAAAATGTACAGGTAACTGTTCGCATGGAGTTTGCCCACATTTCGCGGAAAAACAGAGGATAAACTCACACGATAGAGAGGAGATACAGATTTACACTACATGTAGTTTGTCTGCTTGGTTGTTTGCATAATTTCTTGCTTGATCATTTTTTCATGCAACAATAGAGACGCACATTGGGGTCTGTGGTGACTCTGTAGGTCTGACCTGTAGCTCGCCTAGCTCGCACCGTGCAGATGAACGTATACATTATCGTGTGCTTGAGCAGCGTCGCTGTGTGTTTATTTTCGACTGAAATTCTCACAGATGATCAAGATCTGCAAAAAGTATTATTAGGTGCATTACTCTTAGATATTGATGTAAGCATCAACACTTGACCCCAAAATCCCAAGAAATGCACTTTATTCATCATTAAAATTTCGAATCGAGAGGTTGACCGAGTTTCGACTGTTTGTTTACATTCCAAGGCCGGCTGTGCTTCCAGCTTGTAACAAAAATGTTGCCGATGTTTGACGCAAGATATCTCAAAGACTACTCAACCGATCACCCTCATATTTTGAGAAGAGCTTAGTATCCAACTCATCCACTGGGAAATGCAATCAGTTTTCCGCAATTGTGGCAGGTTAATTAATTACGAAGTATCATTACTAATTCAATACAAGTTTTACAGTAATCACGTGCTGAAAGTTGGACAAATTGCTAGTTTCTCTGATGTTCATAGGCGTCGCCAGTTCTGAACAAATTTCCTAACCATTATCTGAAGCGACATTGATGGTTACACAGACAGACAGACAAACCTAGAGAGAGATAGTGACAGATCTACGGGACACATTTAAACATATTTTAACACTCACCAATTATTCAGAATCATATGTATCGTTGATCAGGTTGATGACTACACTAGGCTGCTTAGGGAAATTTAATTAATCATTTATCCAGTATCTTTCCTCTGTTGCTTTGACATGGAACTCACACTGTTGCCCAAATTTTCTTGTTATACTTGATAAAGCCAGCTTTGTGTGTCGCTTAACGTCATGGAGTTTAAATGTTGTATTTGCCAAAGCAAGGTGTGATGACACGCAGAGGCGCTCACTCAGACATAGAAGCCAACACACAGTGCGGCGGTGCTGACACGCAGAGGGCACTCACTCAGACACAGGGTGCCGTAGCGAATGGTGTGTGTTTGATCTGAAGAGGTCGTTTTTTTCTGGGAATTTTTAGTTCTGATTCTCTACAGGTCCTCACTGATGGACCATTTTCACCCTTGGAATTGAAGAAGGCCTTCAGAGCACTTCAAACAGTATTTCTGTACCTTGTGTGAAACTCAGAAAATGTGTTGGTGGTGAGGAAATGTTAAATACAAAAAAGCTCTCTACTCTTTACTAATCTAAACCATTGTCTCAACAGGCAAACTTGAGAAAAACTATCTGCAGACTTCTGTTGGCCTGTTAAGCTACTGTAGTTTGCAATATGGCGCAATCGTTTCTTATTTTAGTGGTAGGCCTAACACGGACTAGTGCGTCATGCTACAAAAATGGGGACATACATGTAGCAGAAAATTGTTTGCTTTTTTACGCGCTATGTAGAGCAAAACTATTTTGTTTATTTATCTAAAATGAATATCAGACATATTCCTTTTGACTTCCAAATTGTTAATGTTGTGCGCAAATTTGAAACGTTAAACTTTAGTGTGGAGGAAGATATTAACAAAAAGAGTTGTACATTTTTATTTTGGATCATCCTGTATTTCAAAGAGATGTGCACAGCATGCGGGTTTCTTTCTTGACTTCAGCATTTCTTATTCATCATATTCATCATATTATTTTCTGCCTTTTCTGGTTGCTGCTCTTAAACTGGTTCTGTTAGGAACTACTCTCTCCCATTTCAAGGAACTAATGTTGAAGTCCTTCAGAGGCGTTTCCGAGTGAATTTTGTAGTGCCTTTTTTGTTGATGCGCCATCTTAACGCTTCTCCGAAGAAAGCATATACCCGCGGGGCAGTGCTGCTGACTGAAGTGTCGTTAGGCCATTCCCAAATGGGGAGACATTAACATTTCGAGTTCTTATGCACAGTAGAATTGTAATTGTAAATGGGCTGATTCATCAATGTCATGCTCATAAACTTGCCTGAACTGCAACAGGGAACTGCTGCCTTTTCTTTTTAACCCTTTCTCTCTTCATTGTTCCTCTACTTATTTTGTATGTTTGTCACACTCTTGTGATCCGCTATTTTCGGGGTGCCTTGATAGCCGAAGCAGACTTTGTGCTGTTGAAGCTAGAGTGATGAGCAGAGTAAGCCTGATTCCCTGTAAGGACTTCTCTGTTGGCATCCACCCCCTGGCGGTCATATGACCTTATTCAGTTGCGAGCGCCGTAAAGCCTCTACTAAAACAAAACGAAGATAGCTCAGGATAGAGGCGCTGACGGTAGCCCAGTGGTTAGGCCACCGGACTAGTAATCATGAGATTGGGGGTTCTGAGGTTCGAGCCTCAGCGCGGTCCAACTTTGTGTCCTTGGGAAAGGCACTTCACACGAATTTCCCACTTGGCTCGGTTTTTCGGAGATGGACGCACTCGGAGGTCAGTTTTAAATAAATAAATAGTGTTGATAGGGTCGTTAAACATATACAATTTCACCATTTTTTAAAGAATAGAGCACATGTTCTGCCTTTGGTGTTCTGAAACCTGGCATTCTTCATACGAAATGGCTAGCGCTGCCAAGTTAACGTTTGTTCCCAGCCTTCCAAAAGGTGCACTACCTCAACCCATATGTGTTATTTCTGTATCGATGGGGGCATTTGAAGACAAAATATACCTGTCCCCATGGTTTTATGCACCCCGCATAATTTAGCAAAATTGGATCTTTTTTTGGTATAATTTCTGATTATTTTCCTTTATCATTCTTTGTTAAAATTAACAGAATCGCATAATTTCACATTTTTGGGCCCAGTTTGCATAATTTCAGAATTTTTCTTGCATAAAACAACGGGAACAGCAAGTTAACTTTTGGTCAGAGCCTTCCAAAGGGTGCACTGCCACTATTCATACGTGACGTTTTTCTGTATCGATGGCCCCCATTTGAGGGCAATATACGAGATAAGATAGATAGATAAGATAACATAACATAAGATGAGATAATACTTTATTATCCCAGAGGGAGATTTTTCTTGGCTGTACAGGACCGTAAAAACACATGCAGGTATAAATTTTAAAAAATAAATTATATAATATTACT